ACGGTGCTGTTGGGCGTAGCTGTTTTTACGAGGGAAAGAGTTCGACCTGCGAGTTGAATTTACGCTTCATTGTTTTATTTTTAAGGAGCTCTGCTTTGCTCCGTTAGTCATCTGAGCTTGGAAAGGGAGAAATGTGAGTTTGGACTTTGTGAAAACAAGCAGAAATATTTCCTGACTCTGTGTTTTTTGATTGATAATATCCATTTGAGGGAAAACGGGGGCTGCAGACTTACAGTTCCCACTGGAGCTGGGCCAGAGACGGTTCGGCCCAAAGTTCACAATCATTCATTAACACGTTGGAGATAAAGCTGCATGGACCTCCTGACGGCCGCAGCTTTGAACTGCGTTTGCGGCTGTTAGTGGCGTCTGGTGCAGCTGCGCTTTTAGCATCCACGGCTGCGCTTTTAGCATGCACGGCTGCGGCTTTTAGCATGCACGGCTGCGGTTTTTAGCATCCACGGCTGCGCTTTTAGCATGCACGGCTGCGGCTTTTAGCATGCACGGCTGCGGTTTTTAGCATGCACGGCTGCGGTTTTTAGCATGCACGGCTGCGGCTTTTAGCATGCACAGCTGCAGCTGAATGTTTATTGATTATTAAAACATCTGGAGCTGCACATGAGCAGCTGATCAAGATTTATCAGGATTCAAATCGTTCTTCCTGCACCAGATTGGCAGACATTAACCTCTTCGTGTTTACACTGGTTACTGATTACTGATCAGATTGAAACTTGATAGAAACAGAATAAAATCAGGCTGACGGTTGATCCTTCATCCATCTATCCATTCATCCATCCATTTTATAATCCAACCACTGACCCATCCATCCATCCTTCCATCCAATCATCCATCCATTTTATAATCCAACCATCCATTCGTCCGACCAACCAACCAGCCAATCATATCCTTTCAATTTGTTTTTGTATTTTTTCTTTAGATTTTTAAAGTCCATGACTCTTAAATTCAGACTTTATTATTTCTGTATGATTTATTCTTGATAAGTGAACGTCTGAGAATATGAGTCTGGAAAAATGTGTGCGTCTAAAATCCAGCGCAGGTGCATCTGCTGGGTGTGCACTCTTCCTCTTTCCTGCGCTCCTCTTCCCTCTTTACATGAGCGCTTTGTCCGATTTTAAAACCACTCCAACACAAAGCAGCGTGCGTTCCATCTGTGCTGCTCTGCTCCATGTGAGCACAGCTTTCAGTTCAGGAAACCCGTGTTGAGATAACAGTGCGCTGCGATCTGCCCCTTCTGCTCGATAAAATCGCCTCTGCTGCGGTCGGGGCCCTGATGGGAGGCTTCCTGTGTGACTCTGGGATGGTGCAACTCCTGACTCCTTGTGGCTGCGCAGACAAACACACCATATCTGCTCTCAAACGAGGAATTTCAGCTCATAATGTTTACAGATAATAACCGGACACAGCTATACGTTATACAGCATAAGCCTTGGAGGGAACCAAGATGGCGTCCAGTGGGAATTTAAATGAAAAGCGTATGACTTCATTGTTGTTCTGAAGTCAGCGCTTGTGGGTGGATCCTGCCCTGACTTGTTCTCTTTTTTTTTCCTTTTTTTTTGAGTAAATTACATCTTGAGACATAATTACACACTGAGTTCAAGCTTGTCTCAGCGTGCACAGTTTGTCATCCGAGTGCCAGTGAGCCTGATGGTGAAATCTGAGGAGAACAGAAACATGATGATCGCGCTGCTCTGCAAAAATACGAAAAGTATTTTTGGTCTAGTTTCTACTGCAAGTATCTTAGCACACTTGAAATAAGACAAATGAATTTACAAGTAACTTTACAGAAAGAATTAGGAGCTTGTTTTAAGTTAATGATTCCTTAATATTGAAGAAAATGTAGTTATAAGTGAAATAATCTGCCACTGGAACAAGACATTTCTTTCTATATGAGAACTTAAAATGTACAACCTGAGCATTAAGACTAAAAATACTTGGTAATGTTTTGTGTTTTTGCAGTTTAGAGCAGCTGAAATAAAACTGCTGTTTCCTCTAACATTAGAGGACATTTGTTGTGTTTGAGCTTCTTCTTCTCTGGTCTGTTTCAGTCACAGATGGGAACAGACTGCATGTGAAAAGTTGCAAATGAAGAGCAGCGGCCCACGTTTCTGTTTATAAATTGATTCAGCGGCGCTTTAAAAATCAGCACATTTATTCTGACTAATCCACTCGTCTGCTGCGTAGCGTCACGTTCGCTGCGTCGCCTTCGCCCCTTCGCCCCTTCGCCGCGTCGCCTTCGCCACGTCGCCCTCGTTCTCTTTCATTTGTTCTTTTGTATTTTTTACTTTTTTTGCTTTTTTCCACTCTTCCACTCTTTTGCTCTCTAGTTTTTCTCTTGCTTTCTTTCCTTCTTTGACGTTTTTACTCTTTTTCACTAATTTTTTCCCACTATCTTGCTCTCTTTTTTCCTCTCTTTTGCACTTTCTTTCATTTGCTCTTTTTTACTCTTTCACTCGTTTCATTCACTTGTTTTTTGCATTTTTTTGTGCTTTTGCTCGTTTTTACTTTTTTTGGTAATTTTTTCCATTCTTTTGCTCCTCCTTTGCTCTGCTCTTTCTTTCTTTTTACTCTCTTTTTTCACTCTTTCCTTGAACTCCTGTCTTCCTCTGCCTCTCCTCCAGCACACCTCACTACTGTCTCCTTGTAGGAATATCTGACATAAATTCATGGCTAGGTTTTGTTGAATCACAGGGAATAATGGTATTCTTGCAGTTGGAAGGTTTCTGTTTCCTCCTCTGCTGTGTGTCGATGTTCCCCTGAGCAAGGCGCTTGTGCTAAATCTGATCACCAGTCCACGTATGAATGTGTCTGTGAGCTGATTGGAGACTGTTCCACTGTAAAATAGTTTTGAGGAATTGGTCTGCCTGGTCTGTTTTTTGTCCTTTTTTGGTTGTCGATTCCGTAAAACTCTTGATCCATATTTCTGCTTGCAGCTGGTTTAATTTGATCCATATTTCTGCTTGCAGCCGGTTTAGTTTGATTTATCTTCCTGCTTGCAGCCGGTTTAGTTTCGGCTCTGAGCGTCTGTAAACTGTGTGTAAAGATTCTTGGTGTGACGTTGCTGAAGCAACAGCGTCTGGCGGTGCATTCCTGCACAGCGATGTGAGATTTAGTGCTGTAGGGAGGATCTGCAGAGCGGCTGAGGTCATGAGCTGAAAACACAATTCTCAGTAGTTTAAGTTTATTTAACTCGCTTGTTCTTTCTGTTTTACGGCGCTTTAATGCTGCAGGCTGAAAACCTGCTTTCTGACACAATATAAGATTTAACACGTTTTTTTTTATCTCTTTTGATTCAACCTTTTTCCTCCTCTTGCACAGGAGCACATATTTGTTTAAAACCAGTTTTTCTGTCTTTATGTGCAGCACCCACCCCAGAGACCAAACGGAGAGCATTTACCTTGCAAACGTTCAGGCAGCCACACCCAGACGTTCTCAGTTTATCCTCCGGCTGCCCTCTGCTGGAGCGTTCGCTGGAAAAGTTTGGTTTAGTTTGACCAAGATTTACAAAGAAAGGCCTCTTTGTTATGACAAATGTGTGTCTTAATTTCCTGTACATAAAAATCTGTAGCCACTGTTTGAGTACAGAGTAACCTTTAGTTGGCAGATATTCTACTTTCTTTTAACAAATATATTGTTAAATATATTTGCATCAGGCTGCAATGCATGAGGGTTCTTAACATAATTGAAAATGCCTTGATTTCAAGGTTTGGAAAGTATTTTATTTCTATGTAAAATCCTTAAAACTGGACAGTTTTGTGATAAAGTGCAATCTAACGTTTGATTAAACACAAAATTTGGAAAACATTTAAAGTTGAAAGCAGATATTTTAAAATTTTTCTTCCTGTTTGTAGTTAAATCAGACTAAACTTTTATTGTTTTAGGTTAACTACAATTACCAAAATTATTTATATTTGCTAAATGCCAGGAATATTTTTAGAGATTTTTTTTTATATTGGGTTTAATCATTTTATTTGAGCAGGAAGGTTATTTATTTAACACGATTTGTTTTGATTGTTGGAATATTTATAATTCCAAGTGACTTAAAGATTTATTGATCTGTGTAACTGAATTAAAGGTTGGCTTTTGTTTTATACGTTATTGAAATTTGTTGTGAAATTAGTGGGAGAGACGTATCAAAACATAATTTTGTTAGATTTTGTTTTATCTTGTCGCTGCTGTAAAATGCAGACACCATCAAGATATTGTTAATAACTGTGACAAATAATATCCCAAACATTTGCATATAATCTATAAACTGCCTGATGAAGCTGCAACCGAACAACACAGTGAAAGTGTAACAGATTTTCAGAAACAAAAAAGCAAAAGCAGAACTGAGCTGACCTACTTGAACAGCTAAAGCTGGTGTTTACTCAAGCACTGCAAAAACAAAAAGTTTTTACCAAGTGTTTTCGTCTAGTTTCTAGTGCGAAATAAGAGAAGTGTGCTAATTTTCAGCAAGGTTTAGGAGCTTGTTTTAAGTGAATAATTCCTTAATATTGATTTTTTTATTTTTAAAAAATACAAATTTCACTGAGGATTATTTTGCTTTTATTGTGGAAAAATCTTATTCAGTTATTTTTCACCAATATTAAGGAATTATTTACTTAAACAAGCTCCTGTAGATTGCTAAAGAGTTACTTCTTTTGTCTTATTTCAACTGTACTTAGATATTTGCATTAGAAACCAGACCAAATATACCTGGTGAGATTTTTTTTTTGCTATGAAAAAACTTTACAAAAAGCTCGACTGAACTTCAAAATAAAATATCAATTATTTATAATTCTCTAAAAACTCAACTTCTTAAAAAATCAACAGTTTTGAATTGGCTAACTGCATTTTTGTCACATACCTTAAAGAAGTTGAGCTTTGTTTTTAGATACAAGTTAGACTTTAGAAACCGTCCTGTAACTTTTAACAAGATGTCGCCCCCTGCTGGTGCTCAGGCGTTACTGCACCCTGACCTCCCGATGCCTCTCATTGTTCAGGTGTTTCGAGGCGCTGGTGGTCTACTTCAAGGCAGGCCAAAACGAGGAGCCTTACGTCACCCTGTCCAGGAAAACCAACCTGGAGAAGGGCCGAGAGATAGAGCTGGAAATCGGGCAGACGGAGCGGACGCTGGCCACGCACCGGAACGCCTTCAAACGCACCGCCGTCATCCAGGCCTTCCTGGGCTCCACGCCTCAGCTGACGCTCCAGCTGTACGCCAACATCCAGGAGAAGTACACCCTGTCTGTCAGACGTAAGAAATGCTGGTTTATATCCTCCCTAAGTGCTTTCTCTTTTTGCAAAAATTACATTTTGAGTCTTAAATGTGGATTTTGGGACATTTTGAGTCTCTGTTTTTTTTTTTTTTTTTTTTTTTTTTTAGCGTTTATTTAAGAAAAATACGTTGGTATTAAATACGTTAAGCACAAATCTTAACTTTAATATTGCATGTAGTTTTTGTTTTTCTCGCGGGACTTTACTGTTACGTAAAACACTTCCACCGTATGGAAGGCCATATGAGCCATAAATCGCCACTTTTACCAAACTTTCTAGCTAAAACGTCACACAACAAAACGCCAGTTTATAATTTAAGACACCAAAATACTACAAAAGTACATTAAAAACACGAAAATGATTGAAAACTGTTTTTCATTCAAAGTGGCGTTCAATTACTAGAATAAACACCGTAATTTTCGCCATTCAGAAGGTAGTCTTACAACAGCGTAAAAAACAAGGTTTTGAAGGAATTGTTGCAGTACTTTACAGAATCCTAAGTCGGAAAACTGTTTTTAATGTGGCTTTTTAGCCAGATGTGTGGTAAAAGTGTCGATTTGTGACCACATGGTCATACAAATAGTATTAAATTTGTGTTGGGGAAACCTGCAGAAGCCCTACAAGTTTATGTCTGTTTTTATTTACATGAGGCTGCAAGACTGAGTTCTGTGAACTTGCTGATATTAGTGCATGTTCTGATTCATTCACAGTTTGTAAACATAAACTTTGTTGCCTGAAACTGAGCGCGAGCTCGGCCTTTTGGGAGAGGCCTCGCTTTGGCCTGAAGGTGGCACCAGAGCAGGAGTTAACGTCCATCATAATGAAACGCATGAGAATTATTTGATTACGTAGTTATCAGTGTGAATGCATACAGGAGGGTTGGATGGACAGTTGGAACCAACCCAACATTCACACCAATAAACACATTTAAATCCTACTTCCACGCCTCTATTCAACCCTAATTAAACCCTCGTTCAACCCCGCAGTCAGAACAGGACTGTGTTTTTGGTTTTCTGAGGTCAGATGGTTTGTTTCCTGTACTTGGTGACTAATGCCCTGCTGGGAACCAGACACACCTGTGTTTATGAGGCTGATTGAGGTCGGCCAGCTTCTGATAAGATCTGAACCAGGTCAGGCGGAGCTGGACGCTGCTCCAGAGGAAAGTCGGGGGAAGACGAGTCAATTTCAACCAAAAGACATTTAACCTCAGAGTTTCTGTTGGGCCAGAGAGGCTGGAAAACCTCACTGGAAGGTTTCCACTGGTTTCCACCTGGAAGACCTCACCTGGTTCAGGAATGTTTTAAGGTCTGGAAAAGCTGGAACGCTTTGGGAAAAAGTTTCTGCTTCCAGACTCCTTTGACCAGCGTCTGTCCTTCCTCTCTTCCATTTGTCCTTCTTTCTTTACTCCATCCATCCATCCATCCATCCATCCATCCATCCATCCATCCATCCATCCATCCCTCTCTCTCTCTTTCTCTCTTCTGGTTTCCATATTTAGTTTCATATTTGCTATAATCCGATTTAAAAAAAATCTGAAATTTCACATTAGAAGTGTGTGTGTGTGTGTGTGTGTGTGTGTGTGTGTGTGTGTGTGTGTGTGTGTGTGTGTGTGT